ATTGTACTTCTTAGCTCTGTGACTTCTATTTGGTACTTTCTTATCTTTACTAACTCTTTGTGGAAATTCTTAGTGTGCTCATTCTTTCTTCTCTTGAACTCAGTGAGCTTCTTTATGACCATTGTTTTGAAGTCCTTTTCAGGTAAACCACTGATATTCATTTCATTAAGATCTTTTTCTGAAGTTTTATCTTGCTCTTTCATTTGGAATATATTCCTTTGTTTCTTCTATTTTTCCTTTACTCTCTCTCTTGATTTCTATGCATTAGATAAAACAGCCATCTCTCGCAGTCTTGAAAGAGTGACTTCTCATAGGAGATGAATCTTATTGTTCAACTGTGTCTTAGCTCTTGATTGTCTCACCAGTCTTTGTGATTTATTTTTAGTGGCTCTCAGTGGTTGAGGGTGTACCAAGAACTGTCAGTGTCACAAAGGGAGGATCTCAGTCAGCACCTTGACTCAGGCCGACTGGAAGCCAAAACCACAGACAGCAGCTTTTTTTTTTTATATTTTTTGGTGAGGAAAATTCACCCTGAGGTAATATCTGTGCCAATCTTCCTCTATTTTATGTGTAGCTTGCTGCCTCAGCATGGCTGATGAGTGGTGTAGGTCCATGCTGGGGATCCAAACCTGCAAACCCGGGCTGCCGAAGAGGAGCTCACCAACATAACCACTATGCCACAGGCCCAGCCTTGTCAGGCAGCATCTTCTAAAGTATGCAAATGTACCTCTTTCAGGGTAAGACTGGGATATGGGCACTTCTGCTTGCTCCGTCTGAGCTGAGCTGTGGGTATTGCCCTGTGAAGACCTGTTTTTTTCTTTGCTTCTGTCTTGTTGAACTCGTGAACACAAACCCCACTGGCCAGAGGGGCCAGGCAATCAAGTGGTGATCCCTGGGCAGTAGCCACAAAAACTGGGGCACCAGATGTAAAAGCCAGGACACCAGCATCCTTCCAGGAGATCCTAGCACTCTTGAGCTTGGTAAATGGAGAGCATGAAGACAGCACCTGCACTTCATGGTCTCTGGAGAGAGGAATACAGTCAGCCTTTAGTTTTGTGTTTAATTAGAAGTCTTCCCCTCAGTCCTCAGCTATGAAGATAGGCTCATACTCTTTCACAGTAAGACCGGACTCCTCAGTCTTTTGCCTCTACTGTGCTCTGGGTTTGGTAGACAGTTAAAAATGCCTTTTCCATCTGTTACAGTCCTGTGGGACTGTGAGCATAAGCCCCATGGGCCACCAGAGCCCAGTGATCCAGTGGTATCCCCTGGGCTGGAGCCATAGAAATCGTGGTACCAGATGAGGGTACTGATACTGGTGAGCTGAAGCAAGGCAGAAGGGCAACACACAGTGGTTCCCCTGGCTTCAGTCCCTGGAGAGCACTTAGTAGGCCCCTAGATATGTCCCCAACCAGAAGCCTGCCCCTCAGGCCAAAGCTCCAGGACAAGCTAATAAGCCTCTTTCACAGACAGACGAGGTTGTACTTCAGTCTGCATCTGCACTGTGCCATGTGGGTGTTAGATGGCCATAAATTTTCTCTCCATTTGCTATAGTCCTGTGAGACCCATGACCACAAGCTCCACTGGCCACTAAAGCTAGGTGATCAAGTAAAATCCCCTGGGTGCCAGCCACTAAATCTGGTGCACCAGACATAAAAACTGGGAACCAGACACTTGTACCAGCTCCCATCTGGGAGTTAAGGGTGCTCTGGAGCATGGCAGAGGGAGAGTGTGAAGGTAGCACCGCCTTCCAAGGTGTCTGGTGAGGATTAAGACAGTCCTTAGATGTGCCTTTAATTAGAAATCTGACCATCAGTCCACAGCAATGAAGGTGAATCTAATCGGCCTCCTCCAGAGAAAGAGCCTGTGAAAAACTCTTTCTCCATTTGTTACAGTCCTTTGGAACCTGCAAGTGTAAGCCTTCCTGGCCAGCAGAGCCAAGCAATCTAGAAGCATCTCTTGGGTGCCAGCCACAAAAATCAGATCATCATAGAAGGGTACAAGCTCCTTTCTGGGAGATGCTGATGATCTGGCATGAGGCAGAGGAAGAGCAAAAAGATGGCATCGACTGGCCTCCATCTTTGGAGAGTATTTAAGTAGGCTCCTAGATGTGAGTTAATTTAAATTCTTGCTCCTCAGGCCCATGGTTTATGACAGGCAAATAAGCCTATTCCACAGAAGGTCTGAGCCCTTTTCAGTTGGCTCCCTCTGCACTGAGTCCCGCCGTGGGTGAGTCCACTCATGTGGGCCTTTTAAAATTGTTTCTCAGTTCACGTTTCTCAGTTCATTGCTCTGTGGGTCTTCGGGACACAAGCCCCGTTGGCTTTCAAAGCTAGATGTTTGGGGGCTCATATCTCAGGTGTAGGGCTGAAAGTTGATGTGCTAGATGTGGGGTTCAAACCCTTCACTCCTCAGGGAAAATCTTTGTGTTTTGAGTTGCCTCCTGATTGTGGGTCACCATGCTAAGGTTGAGGTTTATGGCGAGATGTGTCCTGTCTCACCTACAGAATTTGATGTGTGTTTTTCTGCTTTTCTCTGGTGTGTGAGAGTGACTCAGCTAGCTTTTGGTTTTTTTCCAGAAGAAATTTGTTCTGTATGTAGCTGTGAATTTGATATGTCTGTGGGTGGAGGTGAGTTCCGGGTCCTCCTACATTGCCATCTTTAATCAGTTACCTAAGGAAAATATTTAACCACGTTTTTGGCTGGTTTTTGAAAATGACAGATCAGCCCAACTGTATCTGGATCTCAGCAAGGTTATTCTACAAGGGACCTTCTGAAGTTCTTGTGGACAAGATGGGGAAATAGATGGGTTAGATGGTTTATCAGATAGTTTATTTCATTAAATAACCTTATGTGATTCTCAGAAGCAGTACTTTGTTCTTAGGCCTGCTCCATTACTCACTTGTGTCATCAAACAGTTTCAAGATTTAGAGGAAATGCACTACAAATTCACAGCAGGACTGACAGAGGGCGTAATGTACTGAATCTCATTAGCACAGATTCATTATTCAAAATGAATCCTCTATGATAGATTGAATCTAATAACATGACATTTATTGGTGATAACTATAAGATCCTGGGCTTGAGTCAAAGGAATTAGCTGCCAAAATATAGACAGTTTGAAATATTTTTAAAAATTAATGTTATTTCAATCAATTTTGAGATCAGTTTGAGTCAAAACTATGAGGCAAGCACCATAACTGCTAATGAGACCACAACCCTCACCGGTAGAAGTGTAAGAGTTAGAATGAGGCTGTTCTAAGTCTTGCCAACGTCAATGCTGATCAGACCATATGTGAAATATTATATTTGCTTCAGAAATGATCTTGTTGGATGGTAAAGACAGATTTAAGTGTTCCCAACTCAAAGGGAAAAATACCAAGGGGCTCAGTCCTGTGACAATAGTAACACCTACTTTTTATTATGCCCCTTTTGTGTACCTTTTGAAGAGAAATATCAATAGACTATTTTATTTATTTCAGATTCTTTGAAGCACCATAATGAGGTGGATAACCATGTTTATTCTGAAATCAGACAACCAGAGTTCAATTTTATCCTCTATAATTTAATGAAAAAATTAATTAAATTCCTTAAGACTTTCTTGAAAATCCGGAGTCAAGCTTGCTTGTGGTATAATTATTGTTAAATGACACACATCTTGACGTATTATGATGAAATTCATCCAAGGGTGAAGACAAAATACTCTCAATCCCCCAAAACTGGTGGGTAAAAAACTAGAATGTTGCTTAAAAAGAATGAGACTAAATGAGCATTTTAATCTCAATATTGGAAGCTTCGAAAAAGTGGTGAAAACATTTATCAGTGATAAGAGTTATGGACTTAAGCCAAGAATCTATGCCTATAGAAGGTACCATTCACAAATCCTTGTTAAAGAAAGACATTAGTATCTGCAAGGATTCAAAGTTCATAATCCACTTAATGAGTCTGTAGAAACAACTGGAAAAATGTCTCTAACCAAAGAAAAAAGAAAATTCAGCAGTGATCTTAAGGAAGATGAAGATGATAATGAATACTTGGTGCATGTATATCTGTGTAAGTGTGTGTGTGTTGGAAATTTTTTAACATGATGCATAAAGTTTATTGTAATAGAATCCCATTTCATGGAAAAAACTTGTACTAGTCTGGTATTAAAAGTGTTAGATTACCGCTAAATCTTCCAATGGCAAGGGCAAATTTTTCTGAAATGTGTTATATATAAATGTGTGATAAACAACACAGCACTTAAACATATATGTTAAAATTATTTAATATATTAGATTAACTCAACAAATTGTTAGTATATTATACCTCATTTAAAAATTTTTATAAAGCGTATTTAAATACATCTCATTCTCCAGGTAAAATTAGAAATAAACAATCCGTTGTTTACCATAATCTTAACTATTTGAATATTAAGAAATATTCCTACTTCATTTCTCTAGAGAGATAAAGAAAGGAAAACTTGGCTCTGTGACTAATTTGAGGCATGAATAAGAATTTGTTTTTCTGTGTGATGTGATCAATGGAAAATTTTTGTTCTTCACTCTATTTCTCACATTGTTTGCAGTA